GTTTAGCTATTCTGGATCTTTTGTTTTTCCAGATGAATTTGAGAATTGCTCTTTCCATGTCTTTGAAGAATTATGTTGGGATTTTGAAAGGGTTGTATTGAATCTGTAGACTGACTTTGGTAGAATGGCCATTTTTAATATATTAATTCTGCCAGTCCGTGAGCATGGGAGATCTCTCCATTTCTAAGATCTTCTTCGATGTCTTTCTTGGGAGACTTGAAGTTATTGTTGTAAAGGTCTTTCACTTGTTTAGTTAGAGTTAACCCAAGATATTTTATATTATTTGTGGCTGTTGTGAAGGGAATTGTTTCTCTAATGTCTTTCTCAGCCTGTTTTTCATTTGTATAAAGGAAAGCTATTGATTTATTTGAGTTAATTTTTATATCCAACAACTTGGCTGAAGTTGTTTATCAGCTGGAGAAGTTCTCTGGCAGAATTTTTGGGGTCACTTATGTATACTATCATATCATCTGCAAATAGTAATACTTTTATTTCTTCTTTGCCAATTTGTATTATAAAATATTTTTTAAATTGTATCCAAATGTTAGGATAAGGATGAAGAATAAATGGCAATATGAGCAGACTATTAGAAAGGAAAGGGGAAGGAAAGAAACATCAAACACTAGTCTCTGGAATAAAGATGGAGGCACCTGGCTGTCACACCAGTACTTGGAAGGACATGTCCATTCCGGTCTCCATAGCAAGATCTTATACCTAATAAGAGCTATTAAACATAGGAAGAACAAGAACAGTTATAAGTATTTTTCACATTAATTAACACAATCCCCACATAATTGGAAAGGCCAATTGGAGTTTATCGGATAACAAAAATGAAAGAATTTAAACTTGCTGATGGTCATACACCAAGAATTGATGTAGTAAAGATCTGAACCCATGCAGTAAAGATTAAGAAATAACTTAAGACAGTAAAATGTTAAAAGAATCAAAGAATGCCAGTGTGTATCCAGCTGTGTAAGTGTGTCCTTGGTCTTTGCCATGTTTTTTGTTTGTTTGTTTTTTAACTTTTTTGTTTTGTTCTTCTCTATCTGGCAATTTGCTATTTTACTTACACCTATGCTATCTCACTTACTATGTCCTACAGTGATCCTTGAACTTAAACCTTATTCTTTCTTACATATGAAGCAACTAGGAAACATCAATTCACTTCACAAAGTCAAGCAGTTACTAATAAAGCCAAGATTTTATTCCACATTTGTTTGGCTCTGAAATCTAGCATTGTTTCCATTATAAAGGTGTTTCATTTTGTTTGTCTAAAAAAGGGACCTTATCATTATACTCACAAATAAATCCATTTCTCGACTTTTATTTGAGAAGATTCTATTCACAATAGATAGTAACTAATACAATGATCTATATAACTGGCCCAAGTGCAGAGAATAAGAGACTACAGAATTCTCAACCATACAGACAACATATACACCACACACCTCTTCCACTCAAGCCTCAGGGATCATTGTGGATGATTGAGTAGAAAGAGTGTAAGAGCCAGAGATGATGCCAAGGAAGCATCGTCTGGACACAGCATGGCAGCTGCACATAGGAACTCACAGCAGTTATTGCAACATGTACAAAACCTGTCCGAGCCCGAGCCAGACTAAATCCCAGTATGGAGAAAGGACTTAGGACACAATCCCAGCCCTAGCCTTGAAGATATTAGCAATTGTTAGCTGCTGGAAGGAGAGAGAGTTTTCTCTGTGTGTAGCCCTATTAAGTTGTCTCCAGTGGAAGGACACAAATCTGGGCAGCACAAGTTGATCTTGGAAAACATTAAGGCATAACAATAAATGAGTAGGGAATGGGTTATGGATCTGAATAAGGGGCTAATATGATCAAAATGCGAAATACTCAATTTATTTTAAAAAGAAAAAAATGTTTTGTTTTGACAGAGGACTTTATTTTCTGGCAACATGATGGTCTTACCTCTTATACCATGTCTTCTCTGTCCTCACTGTTTATAGCACCTTATGCTGGAATCCCTTGAACATTCTCCATGAACCTTGCCTCATTTAATTACTGGAATTGGCATGCAGAGGTTTTGGCAATTTTGAGAATCTAATGGGAAATTTGCCCAGTGTCTCTTACATTCTGAATTCTCACTGAGCTTGTCAATGCCATAATTACCTTGTTAAGAGATGAATCACTGGACTTATTGTGTTTAATGTGCTTTCTGATGTGAACAATGGACCTCTTTCTGTGGTCCCTTTATTTCTGACTGTCTACATTTTCTGTTTGTATAATTTCTTTATGAGTATCTTAAGAATTATTACTGTTGCATTCATTAAATAGTGTGTTCTCACAATTGTTTGATTTTAAATTCAAAGCACATGCAATTAGTTAAAAACTTAAAAAGCCTTACTAGCCGATTTATCCAAGAGAAAAATTGTATGCAGACAAGAGAGTTTTGCTTGAATCCTAATCTTATTTCTTATCTTTAGTCATGAATAGAAGATTGGACTGATAGAGCTGGAGAGATAGTTCAGCATTTTAGGATCAATTGCTGTACTTGTAGAGGATCCATGATCAGTTCCTAGCACCCACCTAGTGGTTTACAGCCACTTGTAATTACAGCTTCAGGGAATCTGAATTTCTCTCCCAGCGTTCTTAGTCACCAGTATGTATACATTCATGCCAGTACATGGTGCACATACATGCTTGCCAGCAGTCCCTCATACACATAAAACAAAATTATCTAGATTTTTCCCCTTCCGTTCTCCCTCTCACTCCAGCCCCACTCACTCCAGCCTAAAGGTTGTTATTTATTTTTTTATTATAAGTACACTATACTTACAGAGGCCATCAGATCTCATTACGGGTGGTTGTGAGCCACCATGTGGTTGCTGGGATTTGAACTCATGACCTTTGGAAGAGCAGTCAGTGCTCTTAACCACTGAGCCATCTCACCAGCCCTAGATGATTTTTTTTAAAGCTACAGTGTTCCAATTCTTAATTCTAATGAGCTACCTCAAGAATTGTTAGAAATGTATGAATGTCCATTTTTCATAAGCATGTACATTTATATAATAAAATAGTAAAAGATAGAATAAGCTAAAATTTTGAAAAGTTCATCCTCCTATAAATTTTTATATAGATTTATAAAAACATTTTTCTCATTTTGCTGGAAAATCATTAAATGAGCCCTTTATTTTTATAAAGATAAATCTAATGTTACCTTGTTTTATTATGGAATACCCTATAGGTATTACAATCTAAATAAAATTGTTTTGTTCTAAGCAATAAACAAACAAACAAACACTCTGGAAGCCTATGTACATTAGCCACAACACAGATTTTGATCCTTTTTTTTTAGTCTTGTGTGTGTACTTTTTGTGATTTCTATATAATCATGAACACTTTGTGATTTTAAGGGAAGTTTCTTTTTTAGCATATATAAATTGAACAAAATCAGGTTTAATTATGACATTTTCATACATATAATTCATATATGTATATTCTATATCATATGCATTAATATTTAATGTATATTAGCTACATATTCCAAGGACTCGAGTTGTCTGCCCTCTGACTGACTTCCTATGTGCTCCATAGACATCCATCCACTTTCAGTCTGTCCTTGTGTTTTTTTAAAGTGTCTACATGGCAAACACCAGTCGATATTTGTGTTGTAAGTCTGGCTGATTTTGTTTAGCATGGTGATTTCTGGTTCCATCCATTTTCCTACGAAGAACATGACTTTGTGTTTTGTAATGGCTGAATGACTCTACTTTGTCTGTATGTACCACATTTCCATTATCTACCCATTCAGCTACAGACACCTAGGGCAATCCTGTGATTTAGTTATTGTGAATGAACAGTACTGCAAAAAAACATGTGTTTCCTGTGTCGCTATTGTTTACTACCTGAATTCCTTTCACTATAAAGCCAGGACTGGGATCACCAGATCATAGGGCAGTTATATTACAATTTATATTATTGTAATTTTCATTTTGTCTTTTGTTCTTTTCAGGTTTTAATGTAATCACATCGTCTCCCTCTTTCATTTCCTAGAACTAGAACCTTTCTATATATACCTCCTGTTCTCTTTCAAATTCATGGCCTCTTTTTTCATTCATTATTTTTACAAGCATATAGTTTTCAGTTTTAAACACATTTTGAGGATTGCTTTTATTTACTTATTTGGGGTGTGTGTGTGTGTGTGTGTGTGTGTGTGTGTGGCGGGGGGTGTCAGGATTTGGGTACAGAAGCCTCTGTAGAGGAGGACACTGATCATCTGGAGCTGAAGTTGTGAGTGGTTGTGAGCTACCTGACATAGATGCTAAGAACTAAATTCTTAACCACTGAGCTATTTCTCCAGTTCTCGTTTTAGTTTTCTTTTTTAATTTTCTATATTAATTTTCCTCAGTGTGTATACTAATTAAAAGTCCCATCAATAGAGGTGAAGGATTCCTTTTTTCTTGTGTCACTGGTAATATCCTGTTTTCTTGGTAGCAGTAATTTTGACCAGTGTGAGATAGACTGTCAATGTCATTTTGATACTCTTTGTCTACAAACTGAGATATTTTGTATTGCTTTGTAAAGTGCCAGTCACATCAAAATTACAATTGCTTTCCTTTTCAGAGGTAGACAAAGCAATCCCAAAACTCACATAGAAGAGCAAAAGTCCCCAGAGACAACCATAAAACCTTAAAAAGAAAAAAAAGAACATGACGAAGAAATGCTAGGGGTATCCTATGCCTGAACTAACATTATACCACAGATCCATTGTACAAAGACACTCCAGTACTTTCACCAGTAGTACTGACCAGGGAGATAGTATAAAGAGCCCAGAAATAATACCATGTGCTATATCCACCTGATTGTTTCAAAAGATGAAAAATATATGCCTTGGTAAAAAGACTATCTCTTTAAAGATAAGTGATGGGAGCTGTTGAGAGGCTGAGACAGGAGGATTCAAGTTCAAGCTAGCTGAAATAACATAAGGAAACCTCGTTTCAAACAGCAACAATAAAAAGTGATCTGAGCCTGCTCCTAGAGGCTTTACAGGCATGGCTGCTGTGTCTCATGTACATCAGTAGGTGGCAGAGAGGAGAGAGGTTAAGTCTATGCTCAGAGTTCTGACTTGTGAACTTCTGAATGATTAGTAGCCTAACAGTCCCTGAAAAAGAAAAGTGGGCCTGAGACTACCACAAGTCCAGTGCCACTCAGGTCCACAAGGACTTTCAGGGCAGAAAGCAAACTGGAGATTAGAAGAACCCCATCTGACACTATGGGACTCAGGTAGGAGTGAGGCCTAGACAGGTGACCCTTGACCCTCACAAGGGGCCATGGTGAACCCAGGCAGAATGAGCCTTAGACAACTACAAGACTGGCACTGCCCAGGGGCAGACCACACCCAAGATGACCTCGGCCCAAGCATGGAATAACACTCTTGAGACCACTCCTGAGATGACCCCAGACACTCAGAGACCCCCACCTGCCAGTAAAAGGAGCAAGTAAATGGTGGAGAAATGAAAGAGAAAGAGAAACAGAAGGATGTGGGCACAATGAAGAGAGGCTGAACTGGAAACTCAAGGGTAATAGTGGCCAGCCTGGTGTGAGTAGCCCATGATTTCCACCTAGTGCAGGGGAGCGGGGTTTGGTGGGGGGAGGGAGTGGAAATGATGGCCCACTGTGCTGTTGTTGTGTCTTGGATCTCTGTTGCGTTGTGGGTCCGTGTGCCTGCCACAAGTCAGAGAGAAGCGCAGGAAGTTCAACTGGTCCCCTTCCACATAGCACCGGGTAGGCGCTGGGCCATGAGAGGCCGCTGGGGTGCCCTGGTCTGGGCTGCTACCTGGGGACATGGTGATGTCTTAGGGCTGTGCAGAATTGGCCACATCCCTCACCTAGGCATTGTGAGAGAGCTGGCTCTGGGTACATGAGCGCAGAAGATCTGACCCCACTCCTAGCTGGCCGCAGTGCTTGGGAGAGTGACCCCCATACATTGTGGGCATTGCAGGTGAGCCTGCCCCAAGAATATGAGCATGAGAGAAGTGGCTTAGTCATTCATCGCTCATGCAATGGTGTGGAGAGATGCCCTTCTCTTATCTTGCTCCTCACCACTTATGGCCCTGGGGTCATGAGAGCAGGAGAACTGTCCCTGCCTCTCACTAGCTGCAGCACTTGGGAGAGCAGGCCCTGCACCTCGCCCAGCTGACCCTGATGAAGTGGGCATGGGTGAGCCAGCCCTTAGGACTTGAGCATGAGAGAGATGGCCACTTGTCTGTCCTATGGTGACATGGGCAAGGGTGAGATTTCATCAGCAGCCGACAGACCAAACAGGGTCATGAAATCAAGAGAGCTAACTCTGTGTCTTATCTGGGTAGCACAGTAGATCTGACCCTGATGTCAGGAGGGGCCTGGGTTAGACAGCCCCAGGAGTGTGAGAACAGAAGAGCTGGTCCTGCCTCTTGTCTGTTTGTGAGTGGTGTAGAGGAGAGAGGAATGCCCTCTTCCCCTCCCTTGTCCCTTGCCACTTATGGCAGACAGGAGAGCTGGCCCCAGGGTCATGAGAGTGGGAGAACTGGCCTTCACTAGCTGCAACACTCAGGAAAGCAGGTCCTACACCTCACTTGACTAGCAGGGTAGAGCTGGTCCTGGTGAGGAGGATGCTGGTGAGCTGGCCCTTGAGGTCATGAGAGCAGGAGGGTTGACCAGCTCAGATATCTATCAGGCTCAGATCCAGGGATTTGAATTGGCCTATCTGAACCACATCAGTGAACGGCTGAGTGCATGAAGGGGCTGGTCCTGCAGATCCAAAACAGGATCTCCATGACACAGGCCAGCAACAGGATATCTGAGAGGATCACAGTGAGATTAATTATTGATAGAGTAGCAGAAGCCAGAGGCCTAGCAGAACAACTCATTGTTGCAAGGAACATTTGCAAGCAAAGATATATGGACAAAAAGGTATACTGTGGGACACACTGTGACACATTGCAGCTTCTACAATGAGACTCTTTTTGTCTCTGTTTGGGGAATGATTGGAAGGGTAGAGAGCAGGTATGAATGTGTGTGGGGGATTAGGGTGGATGATGTGAAATTCACAATGAACCAATAGAAAGTTTCAAAAACAATGATGCAAGAAAAACTGGATATCCAAGTATAGAAATCAAACTTAGATTCCTACCCCTCACCCTGCACAAAAATTAGCTCAAACCAAATCAAAGAACTTAATATAAGTCCTACAGCTTTGAGACAAACAGGTGAGTCTGATCTCTGACATTGTGACATGAACTTATCATCTACAAAGTTTGCACTTGGTAATCTCCCAGTTAAGTAACAAAAATCACATACACAAAAAAATCTCATAATATTTTAAATAACATTACAAGTTTTGTGGGATGCCACATGGCATACAAGTATATGAGGAAGAAATTGGGGAAACATGTTAAGATATTAGCATATTCAATAACTTTCTAAGTAGGACTTTGATGTTTCAGAAATAATGGAAAGAAACAAAACCTGGGGATTACAAGAAGCTGAAACCTTCTGCCAAGAAAAAACAAAACAGTTGCTTAGCATACAGGATGGGAGAAAAATGTTTTACAGCTACTCATCTTACAGGGGATTACAGGGGATTAATATCCAGAATATATAAAGAATACATAATATTCAACAACAAAAGAATATACTGTCCATAAATAAGTGGGAGGATGAATTGTACTTTGGCATTTTATTCCATTTGCTTCACAAAAATCCTAAGAATGGATGAGCACAAGAAGTCTACAAGGGCATGAAAGCCTACCCCTAACTTCATACTTGAGGACCTATGGAGTATGCCTGAGAATGGATGGAATAAACTAAACATTGATTGGTTTCACTATCCCCATGGGACTACGAGGAGGATCCTGAGATTAGGTGAGACCAGGCAGCATGCCAGGGTTTGTCCAAGGCCCCCCAGCACATACATTGTAGAAGACTGCTTGGTCTGGCCTCAGTGGGAAAAGATGAACCTAATCAGAGATGCAGGGAAATGTGAGCTCAAGGATGCAGGAATTGGGGAGAGCACTCTATCAGAGGCAAGGATAAGTGGGAGTGAGATGGGACATTTTTGACTGTGAGTTGGATTTATTCTAATAAGAGTTTTGGTTTTGTTTTCTTTTTCTTCCTTTGATTTTTTTTAATATGGGTCTCTAGGAAGGCATAGCTCTATAACTCAAGTTATGTTTGTATAGTTTATTCTAAAGAAGATAGATCTTATAACCTGTCCAAGCTTGCCTTTTCATTTTTATTATTAATTATTTTATTTATTTACATTCCAGCCATTGCCCCCTCCTTGTCCCCCATTGCACAGTTCCCAATCCCACTCGCCCCTCCCATATCCTCCCTCTCTGAACCCTCAAGGATTAGGTACATCTTCTCCTGCTGAGACCACACCAGGCAGTCCTCTGCTATATGTGCTGGGGGCCTCAGACCAGCCTACAGATGCTGCCTTGTTGGTGGCTCAGTCTCTGAGAGCTCCCAGGGGTCTGAGTTAGTTGAAGCCTCTTGTCTTCCATGTGGTTGCCAAGCCCTTCAACTCCTTCAGTCCTTCCCCTAATTCCTCCATAGGGGTCCCAACTTCAGTCCAATGATTGGGTTGGATGTAAGTTTTTGTGTTTGTCTCAGTCAGCTGCTGATAGGGCCTCTCAGAGGACAGCCATGCCAGGCTCCTGTCGGTAAGCACATCATAGCATCAGTAATAGTGTCAGGCACTGGGGTGCCCCTCCCCATGAGATGAATCCCAGTTGGGCTGGTCACTGGACAGCCTTTCCTTTAGTCTCTTCTCCATTTTTGTCCCTGTAGTTCTTTTAGACAGGAACAACTCTGGGTCAGAAAATTTAACTGTGGCTTAGTGATTCTGTCCCTCCACTTAAGGCCCTGTCTATCTACTGGAAGTGGACTCTTTGAGTTCCCTTTCCCCACTATAGGACACTTTGGCCAAGGTCATCCCCACTGAGTCCTGGGAGTCTCTAACATCCCAGGTCTCTGGGACTTTCTAGAGGGTCCCCCATCTTCCAACCCCAGAGGCTGCACATTTCCATTCATTCCCCTGGTCCCCTGGGCTTCTCTACTGTTTTCCCCTCATACCTAATCACGCTTACCTTTTCCCCTTTCCCTTCTCTCCCTCCCTCTATGTCTCATGATAACTATGTTCCTCCTTCTAAGTGGGACTGAAACATCCTCACTTGGAAGTTCCCCCTTGTTAAACTTCTTAAGTTCCTGGGTATTCTGTATTTTTTTGGCTAATATCTACTTATCAGTGAATACATAGCATGCATATTTTTGAAGGTCTGAATTACCTCACTCAGGATGTTATTTTCTAGTTCCATTTATTTGCCTGCAAAATTCATGATGTCCTCATTTTAAATAACTGAATATATTTCATTGTGTAAATGAGCCACATTTTCTGTATCTATTCTTTGGTTAAGGACATCTAGGCTGTTTTCAGTTTCTGGCTATTACAAATATGGCTGTTATGAACACAGTGGAGCATGTGCCTTTGTGGTATGGTGGGAGTCTTTTGTGTATAGGTCTAGGAGTGGTTTAGTTGAGTCTTCAGGTAGAATTATTCCAAATTTCTGAGGAACTGTCAGATTGATTCCAGAGTGGCTGTACCAGTTTGTAATCATACCAGCAACGGAGGAGTACTCCTCTCCAGGATGGTGTGTCACTTGAGTTTTTGATCACTATTATGATTGGTGTAAGATAAAATCTCAGGGTCATTTTGATTTGCATTTTGCTGATGAATAACATTGTTGAACATTTATTTACATGCTTCATGGTCATTTGAGATTCCATTGATGAGAAATGTCTAGCTCTGTGCTCCATTTTTAATTGGGTTATTTGGTTTTTAGGTGTCCTGTCCTGCAGGGCATTAAACAGGGGTCCGAGGAGATCACCTGAAAGAGAGCAGAGGTGGGGGGAGGGAGACAGGCAAAGACGCAAAGAAATGATGATCTGTCTATAGTCTGATCAGATCGCAATTTTTACTTTTTCACACACAGTTTATATACACAAAAAGGCAGGATGTGGGGAAGGGGATGACAAAGGAGCATAGGTGTTCAGGGGTAGTACAGATATATTCCAGAACAGAGTGTCAGCGGGGTGAAGGTTCAGGGGACAGATCACTATG